CAATAAAGCAACCACGCTCTGCTACCAAAAATGTTTGATTCCGAAGCTGATCTTAGCGCAGTGGAAGCAAATTAAAGTTATCTTAAAATCTAAAACTAAATGGTCGATCAGCCTCGAACAACATTTGACTACGATTCGTAGTGCTCTTTACTATAGCTAAATAAAATAAATTTAATGAGAGAATTTTGTTCCGGAAAGTTTCCGGCCGAGAAATTCTTGTGTCCAAAATCTACTTAAACAGGGCCCAGCAACAATTGCTTACCGAGCGAACGATGACGCCGTCGTTTCCTTGTAAGTCTAGTTTTTGACAGGAAAATAGGTATCAGGTTTGAGGAAGACTTTTGGATTGGGACTTAGGTACTAGACTTACTGTACCCGGGCACCAGCTCGCGTGGTACTCCGTCCAACAAGTTTCACAAGCACTTGAGTACTATTGTTCATAGTTCGACATCAAATAATGTTTAACACACAGTAACAAAGATTTCTCCCGCACACCACTGCTCGCGACAGCAACACGTTTTACTGTACAATACGCGAACCAAAGGACACTGGACGCGCGGGTGACTAAAAGTAAGGTTATTTTTTCCGACGGCCGCGTGGTTATCGAACCGACTGACAATCAAAGCGCCGGAACCAAATACACTTGGTTCTCTTCCCCACCGAACAGGAAAACCACACGAGAACACCGAAAGCACACTAAATTACACCATTTATAATTACAATTCGCATCAACCAAGCGAGCGACGGCAGAGGACGTGAATGACAGGACAGTGTTGCCAGCACCGCGCGCCCATTTTATACGAAAACTAAACATCCATAGTTGCTTCCAGACAAAGTGATACAAAGCAGCAATAGATGTCGAGCGATGTTCTAGGCCGTGCTTGATGAAGTACTAGGCGCGCAGCACTTACGAGAAGGTGTCGTTGACCTGCCGACAGCAGCGGATGAAGGTGGCTCTACGAGGAAGCTCCGCAAATGCGCAGCTCCTACATATGTGCACGCGGACCGCAGACCTCCGAGGATGTCTTTCACTGTCGCCGTCACGTCGCCCCGGTATTCCACTTCTACAGTTTTACCTGGAAATTAGATGATAGGATATTGAGCTAGGGATTATTATACTAAAGTAGGGACCAAAGACTTACAATATGAAAAAGAACGAGCGTAAGAAGTATAATCAGAAATAAACCTGATTGTATCAGCCCCCCACTGTTAGTGACCAGCGAACATACTTCCACCATAAAGCATACAAACATCAGGGATATTCTTACCTTCCGAAGACCTATAATCAGCGACTCCGCCCGAATGCTTCAACATAGCCGTCGACGAGGACATCCCGTAGAACAGCTTAACCTGCTTCCCGTCAGGCTTGGTCATGACCTCCCCTCCGCACTGGTCGTGGCCAAAGGACATACTTCCACCGGGAGTTTCTTACCTTCAGAAGACCTATAATCAGCGACTCCGCCCGAATGCTTCAACATGGCCGTTGACGAGGACATCCCGTAGAACAGTTTAACCTGCTTTCCGTCAGGCTTGGTCATGACCTCCCCCCCGCACTGGTCGTGGCCAGCGAACATACTTCTGCCAGAAATATATTAAAGATCTGGGAGTTCCTTACCTTCCGAAGACCTATAATCAGCTACTCCGCCCGAATGCTTCAACATGGCCGTTGACGAGGACATCCCGTAGAACAGTTTGACCTGCTTTCCGTCAGGCTTGGTCATGACCTCCCCCCCGCACTGGTCGTGGCCGGCAAACATGCCGCCCGCCATCACGAAGTCTGCGCCCGCGCCGAAAGCCTTCGCTACGTCGCCGGGACACGTGCAGCCGCCGTCCTGGAGAGGAATGCATTGCTTTAGTTGTAAAAACTACTACTAGATGTCGCTTAATCGTCGCTTCGAGACAAGCATCAAGAGGTTGAAAGAATCTTCAGGGTCCGCTAGGCTACCGTAGAGTCAGTTGGCATAGCGGTGGGACGGTACCCTACGGTCACGGAATCAAATCCCGGCGGTCGCTAATGAATTTTTCAATTTTCTCATCATCAATTTATGAGAATACATTAATTTTTTAGACAATTTCCATTGTTTATAGATTTGGTATACCGAATTTAATCTTTATGTAATACAATGTAAGGTGTTATCGATGTTTCTTCACCTGCAAGGAAGTCTGATTATTAAGCACAAGTTCAGGTGGACTATGAATGCAAATCTACGAAGCATCAGCATCGGTCTTGCGAACACTCTTGTGGGTTACATCCTCTACGATAAGCCACTTGCATCCGGGTAATCCTTACTCGCTTTCTTTCTTACCTGATGAAGTGATGATCCAAACTGAAGCTGACAAAACTTGTTGATTTGGGATTCAGCACTTTAGCTTAAATGCTGTCTTAGTCAAAACATCTTGGCTTGGAGTTAAAACATTTAGCCTATCACTCCAAACAACAAAAACCTGAACTTACCGAGATGATGTGTCCCTTGAGTCCGTGCGCCGCGTCCGCGCACTCAATGACAGCTGACAGTTGCGGGTAGCCCACGCCCGTCTTGATCCGAGTTGTACACACCGAGCCTGGACCGATGCCCACCTTTAGAAAGAGTAAATATGTATTACTAGAAGTCGAAGAGAAATGGACGTTTTTGGAAAACGTGGTTACTTCTAAAAATAACGTTGTATGCCACGTAAGCCACCAGTGACAGTGACTAAGCCAGGGTAACTATCAAAATTTTACAGCTAATCAGGCAGAGTCTATGGCAGCGTATAACGTTATGTTGCAGATAAGTTAGGTACTCCAAAAAATGCCTATTAGATATGAAAGAAAGATTTAAACGCTTTCAGATAGTTTAATACTCACTTTGATAATATCAGCACCTGATAGGATAAGTTCTTCAACCATCTCACCGGTCACTACGTTACCAGCCTGGAATAGGAAATACAGCTTTTTGAAACAACACGACAAAACTCATTCACTGAAAGGTTTTTTGTGATTATTACACTTTTCAAGGTTAAGAAGACAATGAAGCAAATTTCTCAATGGAATTAGCTGAAAACAGACGATAGAGCGATATAGAACTTTGACTACAGAATGGGATATTGTACAGAGAGAAGGCCTATTCTGACCTGAGCGGTATCCCGAAAGGTACGTGTGTAGTGGAACTCGATGTTTTGTCATTTTTTTGCCAAACAATGATGGTGTGAGTGGGAAAGGCGGCCCTCACTCGCCTCACGTACTCTACAAAGTGCTGCTACATCCGTTGGCTACATCGAGACAGACAAACCGCATTCTTGTAACATTGTTCTGGACCAAGCTTTGACCAAACAATGTTGTCACTTACGATGATGGTGTGAGTGGGGAAGGCGGCCCGCACTCGCCTCACGTATTCCACAAAGTGCTGCTACATCCGTTGGCTACATCGAGACAGACAAACCGCATTCTTGTGATATTGCGTGTACCAGGCTTTAACTAATCAATGTTGTCACCTACGATGATGGTGTGAGTGGGGAAGGCGGCCCGCACTCGCCTCACGTACTCCACGAAGTGCTGCGGGTAACCGTTGGCCACGTCAAGACACACAAACCTCATTCTTGTAACATTGTTCTGGACTAAGCTTTGACCAAGCAATGTTGACACTTACGATGATGGTGTGAGTGGGGAAAGCAGCTCGAACTCTCCTCACGTACTCCACGAAGTGCTGCGAGTACCTGTTGGCCACGTCGAGACAGACAAACCTCATTCTTGTAACATAATTCTGGACCAAGCTTTGACCAAACAATGTTGACACTTACGATGATGGTGTGAGTGGGGAAGGCGGCCCGCACTCGCCTCACGTACTCGACAAAGTGTTGCGGGTACCCGTTAGCGACGTCGAGACAGACAAACCTCATTCTTGTGACATTGTTCTGGACCAAGCTTTGACTAAGCAATGTTGGCACTTACAATGGTGGTGTGAGTGGGGAAGGCGGCCCGCACTCGCCTCACGTACTCCACAAAGTGTTGCGAGTACCCGTTGGTCACGTCAAGACAGATAAACCGCATTCTTGTAACATTGTTCTGGACCAAGCTTTGACTAAGCAATGTTGGCACTTACGATGATGGTGTGAGCGGGGAAGGAGGCCCTCACTCTCCTCACGTACTCGACAAAGTGCTGCGAATACCCGTTAGCCACGTCGAGAGAGACAAACCTCATTCTTGTAACATTGTTCTGGAACAAGCTTGGACCAAACGATGTTGGCACTTACGATGATGGTGTGAGTGGGGAAAGCAGCTCGAACTCTCCTGACGTACTCGACGAAATGTTGCGAGTACCCGTTGGCCACGTCGAGACACACGAAGCGCAGTCCTGTAATGTTGTTCAGGATCTCGGATAGCCGCTCGAAGTCGGCTTCAGCTGTACCGGAGCTGGCCGCTGGAGAAGAAGAGAGCATTTTTAGTACTATTAGCGTTGTAAGTAGTTACCATAATATCGGGTGATATTTTACTAGTGACAGATAGCGAAAATTTGGATTAAATTGTAGCTGACTGGGACTTGGATTGACCCGGGCTATCAGAATGCAATTTTATACGGTACTATTCAAACCAAAGCGGTATCCGCCTGGTACATGGGTAGCGGTATCTTGTCTGGCACAAATACGCAAGCGATTCAGTTGCGCTACCCACGTACCGCGCAGATACCGCTCAGGTTTGTACAAGGCTTTACTCTACATAACGTATTTAGCTATTGTGGTCTACTTTTCATACTCTTGGATTTGACTCTCAGGACTCACCCATATGTTCGAGGGCTTCAGGATGTTCTTCTGCGAACTTCTTCCACTGGTCTATCGAGTAGTATTTGTGGATGCATGTGAACAGCCCGTGCTGGAACATAACACATTGTTCATGAGCATCTAGACGTTCATCGGGTCGTTGGACGACTTGGTGTCTCACTTGAAGGAAGCTGAGCATCTAGATCGAAAGACAGAACGTCTGAACTGTCCACTGCTGGGCAATATAGGAAGTTAAAAAAATGTTATGCATCGACTGGGGCTCGCACCCGGGCTATATGGGGTACCGTCCCACTACTTTGCCCCTTAACTATCGATGCACCGATCGATGCCTGCCAAATTTCAATTTCTTGATGCTCCTGAGAATTGATGAAAAATGGGCCAAATACGACATACAAGAAGAAGTTGGCCTAAGTAAATTTTAGATTGCAACAAACATTGAAACATTGTAGAAAGATACTTTGTTGCAAGGAAAGCCGAGAGAGAAAACCAATATTTACTCAAACATTTAAACAGAAATAACTTTATTATTTGCTTACATACGTATCCAAATAAAAAATAATCTTCTTTCTCTCTGCAATTTATTTCAGTGAGTTCGCTAAATGTTTCATTCATAAACACATGTTCTAAGTATTTCGCTTTACTATCTCAATGAAAGACAGGATGTTTATCTAATTTATCTGCCTTCTAAGTTTTAAGTGGGTGTATTTATTTATGAAGATGAGTCAATTTAAAGTAAACGAATTTGTTACATAGCGGATGTATCTAATAGAGCGATAGATGTAAATTTGCGGAACTCTGGGTAAGAGCATTCAACGTTGAATTTATTTGAGTTTTATTAATCAAACTCTTTAGATTTTTACGCCAAAAAGGGCGTGGTCTTGTAAAGAGACGAATCCGCGGCTTTGAGGAGCAGCGTAAAGCAGACCTCGACGCCAAACGCAATGCATTGAAGGCCCGTCCTCCCGTCGCCATAACTATAAATTAAAAGTCAAAGGCAAACTCACGTGCCCACACTGAGCACGGGACTTTACTCTCAAAATTGGTTACAATAGCCACCTACGGGTGCATCAGCACCGAATTGATTAGAAGTGGTCGCCATGGCCAAAATCGGTCGGAGAGAAGCCATCACCGGGACACTACTGCCACCTGTTAGTTGTCACTGTACCTTAGCTAGTTCCTGAGCCATCTCGAAGGTGCCGACGGTGTCCATGTTTGAGGCCATCACCGGGACTCCGCGGTACGTCTGTCCTGAGTTGCGGAACACGATCTCCCGGTACAGGTCCACCTGGAAAAACAAGGAATTTATGGTTAGGTAGGGGAGACCGGGGCAAGTTGGGATAGCTAAGACTAAAACATTCATAGAACGAAAATCAACTTGTTTATCAATAAACTTTTAGAACAATAATAATATTTATAATATTAGTTAACATGATAGACCTCTTCTATGGCACTAAATCATATACTTTTTTGAGAAAAAGGAATTAAGTGTAACAAGTCAAAAATCCCATCTTGCCCCATGACCGGGGCAAAATGGGAAATGACATGGGGCAAGACGAGTACACATTTAATCTGGCTGGTTTAATGTTCCTTGTCGGTTCTACGTTTGTAATTACGTACCATTTCAACTGCAAACAAGAAATTGGTTAATCAATTAATGGTTCCGTACAACGGAAGGCACGTCGAACCTTCGGACCCAGTTGTTGTCTATGAAACTTAGATGGTGGTCGTACTAGCAGTAGTAGACGGCTGAAAAACTATGACACCAGGGTTCTTCGAGTGGATCGTCCTATACGGTAGAAGAAAACAAGAGTTTAAACTGATTTCTACACAAATATGAAACAACTTTTACATTCGCACTTAGGGCAAAACGGGATACTTACTATCCCATTATGCCCCGACCATCTTGCCCCAAAAGACAAAATTTACAAAACTTCCAAGCACTTCTAACAAACAAAATAAATGCGCCGAAAATCAATCTGAACGGGAACGTTATTTACTATTACAACTAGTAAATAGCAAACTATTACGTAAACACTTACACATACCTTCATGCACATCGATCTAGAACCCGAAAGCTCGTAAAAGTACTTCAAAAAACAGTTATTTGTCACTGAAAACCAAAAACACGTCGCGACACGCACGCATCGCTCGGACCCCAATGAGGCGACTCTAACATCTTACGAATGGCGCTGTATTCGGTGCGCTTGTGTTCACCAGTCACGCAAAAAAACAAACTTCCCGTCTTGCCCCGAGCTTCATCTTGCCCCGGTCTCCCCTACTATCTTAGTTCTATGCTGTGTGCAGTCCATTTTGAATAAAATCGCCACATTTCTACCCCTCGTTAAAGGCAACTAAGGGGTAAATGCACAGAAGGTAAATGCAAGCAAATATTAGACAACAACGTTCCCTATGAAACATAATAAAATAACAAGGTACCTGACACTATGCTCAAGAGTAGGCTGGCACCTCAAAGTTTCTTATTTTGAATCTTCTTTTTGTCACAGGGACACTTCTTGCGAAATTCTATGCATTTGTGTTCTGGACAAAGAAAAATAATAACGCATTGCTTCTATATTTCAAAAAAATACAAATAAAATGAGTGATCGAAATAATAGTGCGATTTGAATAATAGTGAGCCCCCGCCAAGTGTAGGTACCTAAGTGTACCTAGGTAAGGCAATTTTTTCACTAATTCATAACATAGTCATAAAAACTGTGCCATTCCTAGACAGACAGACAAACGTCTTGTTAAGATGCTATTTATTATCATTTATTACCGACTAGCCACGTCTCGTCGCCATAAACTGTTTAACGATAGTAAATCATGCATGTGTTACACGTGCCTCTCGCCACAAGCTCCACAGAGTAGACGTGAGACGTAAGATGGCATCTGTCAAACAAGTGATCGTTGGAGACGCGAGACGTGCGACATCCCGGCGCTTGAAACCGTTTCCACATAAAATGTATGAAACAGAAATGACAAAGCTACACACGTTCGATGCGCGTCGCATCGATAACGGCTGACGATCGCTTGTCTGACAGATGTCATGTTGCGCGTCGTGTTGCTCATCTATTCTGTGGAGCTTGCCCTTTATTTATTAGTTTTACGAAAAGTATTCATGTCTGTTCATACTTAGGCCATATTCAAACCTTAGCGTTATCCATGCGGTACGTTACGCTTAGTGGTAGGTTTAATTTTGTAGTTACTTTTGCAATAATTTGGAAAAGCCCGCACATATTCTGACGTGGCTGACTGACACCAAAGTTCATCGAGTCGTTTGTCGACTCGTTGTCCTATTGTCCTAGACGATATAAATAAACAAATGTCAAATGAATGAGCAATTTGACCTGTCTTAAAAGCAAAGGACAGCAATGAAAGTTCCCTAATAACGTACTAACACGGTCCCATTAACCGGCTATAAATAAACAGCTGAATAGCGGGCACTTTCCGACCTTGGGGACGATTCCGCAACTGTCTTCAATTCCACTTCACCATACATTGCTCGCTGGAAACCTAGATGTACAAATGTGGGGTATGAACAGCCAGCAATAAACTGCGAAGTCTCATGATTGTGGCTGGCAGAATTCCAAGAGTTGAAATCCCGCAGTCTCGAAGTCGTTGGCGCCACAATACTACGGGGTATAGGTACGGACGATGGAATTGTTGACAATTGACATTCTTTAAAGAAAATCCAAGATACACGTAAATACACCTATGAAACGTAGGTCGAAATCGTCGTAGAATATACGAGGTTATCTGGGAGAGAGATGAGTTGCGAGACTGATTGGTACCTGGTTTTTGAATAAACTGTACTAATTTCTTTCTCTACCTACCTACAGGACATACCAACGTGTTGTGGAGTGGTCCAAACTTTTTAAGTTTCATGAGCCTTCTTGTCTACCGTCATCCCTTGAAAGGAAAGCAGTTCTTTTCTGTAGCGTACAAAGTACTCACATGGTACTCACTCAGGTGGTACTTACTCACATGGTACTCACTCAGGTGGTACTCACTCACATGGCTCACATGGTACTCACTCACATGGTACTCACTCACGTGGTACTCACTCACATGGTACTCACTCAGGTGGTACTTACTCACATGGTACTCACTCAGGTGGTACTTACTCACATGGTACTCACTCAGGTGGTACTCACTCACATGGCTCACATGGTACTCACTCACATGGTACTCACTCACGTGGTACTCACTCACATGGTACTCACTCACATGGTACTCACTCACATGGTACTCACTCACGTGGTACTCACTCACATGGTACTCACTCACATGGTACTCACTCACATGGTACTCACTCACGTGGTACTCACTCACATGGTACTCACTCACATGGTACTCACTCACATGGTACTCACTCACGTGGTACTCACTCACATGGTACTCACTCAGGTGGTACTCACTCACATGGTACTCACTCAGGTAATACTCACTCACATGGTACTCACTCAGGTGGTACTTACTCACATGGTACTCACTCAGGTGGTACTCACTCACATGGTACTCACTCAGGTGGTACTCACTCACATGGTACTCACTCAGGTGGTACTTACTCACATGGTACTCACTCAGGTGGTACTTACTCACATGGTACTCACTCAGGTGGTACTCACATGGTACTCACTCAGGTGGTACTTACTCACATGGTACTCACTCAGGTGGTACTTACTCACATGGTACTCACTCAGGTGGTACTTACTCACATGGTACTCACTCAGGTGGTACTTACTCACATGGTACTCACTCAGGTGGTACTTACTCACATGGTACTCACTCAGGTGGTACTTACTCACATGGTACTCACTCAGGTGGTACTCACTCACATGGTACTCACTCAGGTGGTACTCACTCAGGTGGTACTCACTCAGGTGGTACTCACTCACATGGCTCACATGGTACTCACTCAGGTGGTACTCACTCACATGGTACTCACTCAGGTGGTACTCACTCACATGGCTCACATGGTACTCACTCAGGTGGTACTCACTCACATGGCTCACATGGTACTCACTCAGGTGGTACTCACTCAGGTGGTACTCACTCACATGGCTCACATGGTACTCACTCAGGTGGTACTCACTCACATGGCTCACATGGTACTCACTCACATGGCTCACATGGTACTCACTCACATGGCTCACATGGTACTCACTCACATGGTACTCACTCACATGGCTCACATGGTACTCACTCAGGTGGTACTCACTCAGGTGGTACTCACTCACATGGCTCACATGGTACTCACTCAGGTGGTACTCACTCAGGTGGTACTCACTCACATGGCTCACATGGTACTCACTCA